AGATACTAATTAAAAAAGTTAAAAATGATTGGATAAATTTTACAGGAGAAAAAAACCCCTTAATAAAAATAATGACAGAAAAAGCGAACAAGACTGGCCTGTAGGTGATGGTATATAACGGAATGTTGTCGGTCATCGACAGGGTAGCAATAAATCTCAGCCTTGAGAGGTACGAATGTGGGTCAGATAGGACTGGCTTGCATATGGCATTGTATACGGGATTCACAATTGAGATCGTCTGGGTCGGATTGATACGCCGCGTCCAAGAGGCCAGACGAGAGGAACAGAGATGCGATCGGCCACAGCAAGCTTCCAGCTCAGCCGAGCAGTGGGGAAGGGAGGTACGACCGAACTACTAGTAGACGGTGAATACTGAGGATTCCGCCGTGAGCGCCGACAGACCGCATGAGGTCGGAATGCGGGAGATGACAATCACAAACCGCTGAAAATGGAAAAACCCGGACTTGAAGGCCTCTTTCAGAAAAAGGAATCGTCTGTGGAGGCGTTACAGACTAACTGGCTCCGACGAACACTTACAGGAATATAAGCGGCAACGAAACGACTGTAAAAGTGAGGCCTCAAAGCTGCGAAAGAAGTTTGAACTAAACATCCTCCGAAATTCGTTGGAGCATCCGAAAATTCTATATGGTTATATACGAAGTACTAAAAGTACTCAGGAGCTAATCCCTGCCCTCAGGTCTGCAGATGGAAAAGTGGAGATTGATGACCAGGTTAAAGCGTCCCTCCTTTCCGACTTCTTTCAGTCCGTCTTCACCCGAGAACCTAGTGCTATATTTGCCCATCCATTCATTCGCCAAACAACCTCTCCTCCCAGTACCCTTCCCCATCCTATCCCCTCCCTACCCTCCTTAACCGAGGAACCACTCTTTTCATCTACCATAGTTAGGGCCGAGCTACTCCGGCTGAAACCTGCCAAATCGCCTGGCCCAGATAGAATTCAAGATAGAATCAAGGTCAAGGTTAAGCCGCTGGTTTTAAATTAGAAGATAAGTGGAGGATATTATTTTTAGTGGTTTTTCTGTGAGATCTAACGATTTTAGTACCCGTTTTTTTTGGTTGAATTTCCTTAAATACAGGCCTTTTCTCTAAGAACTGCCCGCTGCCATCTCCTTTCGAGTTTTGCTAGTCTACGCCCGCTGTTCACTAATCGCACTTTGCAATTCTCATTTTGTGCATCCGATTTCTCTCTAACTGTTGTAATTTATTTTTACATCGTTAGCCCCTAGCTGAAATTCAGTCAACTTGTCTGCCAGAAGTTCTCTTAATCACAAATTGCCTCGAGACAAGATGAGACCAAAAGTCACTGGTCGCCGTAAGCTCTCGGCTCTTGTAAGTAAACATGGCCTAACTAAACGTAAATCAGAAGCTTTACCTAAGTCTAAGTCAGATGATATTACTAGTCAGTCGTCACCCGTTGTACTTGGTCGGCAGCTTAATCTGTCTGCACTTGACCACTGCAATGACTTTATGCTAAAGTTGGGCTCTTTGCTGACAATTCTTGGACATTTATTCGACGGGAACATCTCCGATATTCCCTCTGAAGAATGTAGGCGTCTCGACTTACTTGTTCACCTGATCGCCAGTGAATCTAGTGATAGACAGAAGCGTTCTTACAACTTCCTGCTAAAAAATGTTCCTCGATCTGCTCGGCCAATTGATGTTGCGACCAGTTTCCTGTATTCATGTGGTTTCAACTATAAAATAGCGGATGCCAAACGCTTGTCATCCCGTAGTACAAATCCACCCATCTTAGTCAAATTGTTTTCATCAATCGAGGTTGACACAATCTTTACCCATCGAGAGCGTGTCACTGCGTACCTAGAGAAGGCAAAATTTTTCCTTTGTCATGATCTTACTCCTATGGAGCGTAGAATGGGGTCTCTATTCTCACGTAAACCTACTGCTTCTCAGTCTAATGCTCCCCAACTCGGTCATAATACAAGTGGCCGTAAGGATTCAGCTTCTCNGTTTTTGTGGGTTAGAAGACTCGAAGCTGGCCTTTGCTTCCTTTTTCGCATCAACTCTAGCTCCAGTCTTCCGCACATTGACACTCTCACTCCGAGAGATCGGTCTTATGCCACGCGCAACTCCTGCATGGTGATTCCGCCTACTCTTTGTACTACATCTAAGCGCTCCCTCTTCTTTGCTTCCAAATATGCCTTCCTTTGGAATAATCTTCCGCCTGAAATTAGATTATCGCCTAGGTTACTGATATTCAAGTCGAAATTACGCAACCATCTTACACCGGAAAGCATAAAGGCACTGTTAACGGTCTCATTCCCGAACACTCAGGTTCTTGACTTCGAGAAGGGTCCTCCTGGGATTTAGTGGTAGATTAAATGGTAACTCTTAATTATATCATTAGTCACCCCTGTTTTTAATTGGTTTCTAAATCCATCGCTATCCTTCCCCCCATAGCGACAATTTTCGCGGTTTTTGATGTCATCTCCCGCATTCCGACCTCATGCGGTCTGTCGACGCTCACGGCGGAACCCTCCGTATTCACTGTCTACTAGTAGTTCGGTCGTACCTCCCTTCCTCACTGCTCGGCTGAGCTCGAAGCGTGCTGTGGCCGATCGCATCTCGATTCCTCTCGTCTGGCCTCTTTGACGCGGCGTACCAATCCGGCCCAGACGATCTCAATTGTGAATCCCGTATACAATGCCATTTGCATGCCAGTCCTGTCTGACCCACATTCGTACCCAACAAGGCGGACATTTATTGATACCCTGACGATGACCGAAAACATTCCGTTATAAACCGCCACCTACAGGCCAGTCCTGCTCGCTTTTTTTCTGTTATTATTTTTAAAGAGGGGTTTTTCTCCTGTAAAATTAATTCAATCATTTTTAACTTTTTCCGAGGAGTTTTTTTCACCCCTCAATCTTCATGTTTCTCAATGGACTTCTAATTCAGAAACTATGAACTGCATTTTGTAAAGATTCAGCCTACCTCGTCTAAAACTCGCATGCAATTTTATTTTAACTTGCTTTGATGGGACCCCGACGGGTCTTTAATAAAAATTATCTATCTATCTATCTATCTAGCACTTCGCGAACTTGCTAATGAACTGTGTAAAACCTTATCCGCAATATTTCAAAAGTCATTTGAAGACGGCGATCTACCGGAAGAATGGAAGTGCGCACTGATTACTCCGATCCATAAAGGAGGCTCAAGACTTGACTGCGGAAATTATCGTCCCGTCAGTCTTACTTGCATCGCGTGTAAAATAATGGAACGCATTATCAAAAGACACTTGATGAAATACCTGGAACAGAACAAAATATTGTGCGATGCCCAACACGGCTTTCGTCCAGGGCGCTCCTGCTTAACGAGTGTTCTTTACTCACACGAGAAATGGACACGAGCTACCGATAAAGGTTTTCCAGTAGATGTCATATTTTTTGACTTCAAGAAGGCCTTTGACAGTGTCCCACACAGGCTTATTTTACAAAAGATCTGGGATGTAGGGATTCAAGGGAGAATGTTTAAGTGGATCAGGAGTTTTCTGTCCTCCAGACTACAAAGAGTCGTCGTTAGTAATTCTACCTCGGAAAGTGGTGTCCCACAGGGTTCTGTCTTGGGCCCAGTACTCTTCCTGATTTATGTTAATGACTGTATCAGCGAAGTGAATTGCGAGGCTCTCATGTTCGCGGATGACATAAAAATATGGAATGAAGTCAAGTGTGATAATGACGCAGAGAAGTTGCAGTCGAACATCCACAAACTGTGTGCTTGGTCGAACAGATGGCTTTTGAAGTTTAACGTGTCCAAATGCGTGGTCTTGCACCTGAACACCGGCCGCAATGCCTCTCCCAAACGCCAGTACTATATTGACGGGACGAGGTTAGAAACTGTGGAAAGACACAGAGATCTGGGTGTATGGACGACCACAAATCTATCGCCATCAGAACACTGCAGAAAGATGGTCCAGAAGGCAACTAGTACCCTACATTGGATCAGACGTGCATTTAAAATATTTCCTCCCGAACTCTTCGAAAGACTCTTTGGTGTCTTTGTAAGACCTCATCTAGAGTATGGAATGCCAGCAGCTTCACCATGGATGAGGAAGGATATCAACTTACTCGAACAGGTGCAACGCAGAGCGACAAAGATGGTCGACGGTCTGAAACAATTGTCTTATCAGGAGAGGCTAAATTTGCTTGGCCTATTCCCTCTCTCGTATAGACAAATAAACTGCAGTCTACTCTGGACGTTCCGGATTGTTCGCGCCCAGGGTTGCTCATTAAGAGCAGAGGACTTCATCGAGTTCGCCCGTACAAACCAACTACGCGGCCATGCATTCAAAGTCGGGAATGAGCGCACACGTTTAGACCGACGAAAATTTTCATTCAGCCAGCGGGTTGTCAGGCCGTGGAACTCGCTTCCAAGCGAGATGGTGACGGCTGACACAGTTTGTGTGTTTAAAAGAAAACTTGCTCGTCTAGTTTTCGACAGAAATCGGCTTGTACAGCATGACTATGCACAGCCAGTTTTGTAAAATCTGTCATATACAATCTTCCGCACTAATTTACAGTGACCCCATGCACTACCTTATGATTACCATTGAACTGTGACCCAATCACATTTTAAATGCCTGCAATTTTATTTTATTTTTGAGTATGAATCTGCGAAAGCACTGTACATAAATAGGGTCATCAAAGGCTCTGCCTTTAACCCTTAAATATATACATATATACATATATACATATATATATATATGAGAAGAAGAGGCGATCTCGGGAACCATGATTGTATTGTCCTGACGTTTCAAAAGCAGACAAGCTTTCATCGTCGGAGGTGAGTATCGTACGGCATCACACAGTATTTATAGGAGGGGGATAGATATCAGTCATGCTAACACGGTGGTAAATATAGGGGGAGGGGGTGGCTAATCGGCTTTGGCGCTAATGGCCCGCATACGCACAGGGATCGTCTCTGTAGTCGCCGGGGCAGAGCGGGAGGGAGGGTGACTGCTGTCAATCTGCCTGTCTCTCGTCGGGGGGCGGCATTTGAACGTTGGTGGCCATCGCCCGCATTCGCGTTGACCTTAATTGTCGTACTGGGTTGCTAGTCTTGATTGCATCCCTCTGACCGCGTTTCTCCCTGTCTGCCGGAGTAGTAGTTGAGGCAACAGTATTGATGACTGCGCCTTCGTCGGGCCCGATTTGCGGTGTGGCTACGTGTAGGTCCGTCGTAGGCTCTCCCGTGTTTAGATCCACGTCCGGCCTGACCTCGCGCTTGCCCTTTAGTTCGTTGAGCTGCGTCCGGAGGGCTTGGTATGCTGTCGGGAGGGCGACGCAGCGGTTTATTGAGGTTGTTTCCGTGTGCCAGGCCTCGATCGTTTCCCTGGCTACGCGGTCGTTGCCTCGACCCAGAATTTTGGCGTTCTGGAAGGCAAAAGTGTGTCCAGAGTCCGCGCAGTGTTCCGCCACCAGAGACAATGGGTCCATTCTCCTCACTGCCCGCATGTGTTCGTTAACGCGAGTTTGTAACCGTTTGCCTGTCTCTCCGACGTACTTTGTTTGGCAAGAGTTACACTGGACCCGGTAGATGACGTTTGTCGTCTCACCTCGTGGCAGGGGGGCCTTCGGTCTCATAACCAAATGCCGAATGGTTGAGTCTGGTCGATGAGCGATCCCGATCCCCAATGGCCTTAGGAGGCGGGAAACTGCCTCAGAGACGCCGTCGATGTATGGCAGTGCACGCCAGACTCTTGGCTGTTCTGTCACCCGATTTTGGCCTGGTTTAGACTGCCTGCTGCGCTCGATGAAATTACGGGGATATCCGTTGGCCATCAAAAGGCGCTGAAGATAGCGGAGTTCTGTCCTTCTGTCATCCGGTTCGCTGCAGTGTGTTTCTGCTCTACTGTAGAGAGTTCGCACACAACTGCGTTTGTGACATAACGGGTGTTTACTGTGATAGTTTAGGATTTGGCGTGTGTTGGTAGCCTTCCTGTACACCGTCGTTTTTATGTGCCCGTTGGGCTTTCGATGGACAAGAACTTCCAGAAACGGCAGCTGGTTGTTGTTTTCCGCCTCCATCGTGAATTGGATGTCAGGAAAGACGGAATTCAGGACGATGTGAAATTCCTCGATCATTTCTCGCTTGATGATGACGAAGGTGTCATCGACGTACCGAGTCCAAAACTTTGGCCTGTGAGTGGTGAAAACCACGCTCTCTAGTTTTTGCAGAACTGCCTCAGCGATGAAGCCGGAGAGAGGCGATCCCATCGGCGTCCCCTTAATTTGTTCGTACATGGTCCCCTCGAAGGTGAAGTACGTCTTCAGGCAGAATTTTAATAGTTGGACTAGATGTCTGCGCTTCACTGACTTGTCCGTCTCGTCATACTGCCTCTCGAGTAACTCGCTGATCGTTTCGATGGCCAGGTCCTGCGGGATTGAAGTGAAGAGAGAGGTGACGTCAAATGACACCATGACCTCGTCTGCAGTGAGTCGCGTCCCTCTGAGCCGTTTCAGAAACTGAGTAGCTGAACAGACCGTTGTGCTTGCGCCTGAGGTGAGAGGCCTCAGGTGTCGGAACAGCCATTTAGCCAGATTGAATGTTGGCGCGCCGCGAAGTGACACGATTGGTCGGAGGGGGACATCGACCTTGTGCACTTTGGGTAGTCCGTAGAACCTTGGTGCGGCTGCATCTGTTGGTTTAACGGCCAGTCGTACTGACTTGCTTATTACTTTGTTCGTTTGCATTTCAGCGAGCGTTTTGTCCAACTGCGTCAGCAGCTTCCTCATCGGCTCATCCTCACATCGGAGGTAGGCCTGTCGATCATCCAGCAGGTTGTTAGCCTTCTGAATGTAGTCGGTCTTGTCCAAGACAACTGTAGAACGCCCTTTGTCTGCTGGCAGTACCACAATGCTCGTGTCGGCCCTCAGTTTCTTGAGGGCATCCTGTTCCGTTATGGTGATATTTGCGCGTGGTTTGTGGGCCATCACAAAGGCGGTTACCTGTTGCCGAACGAGGTGTTTTGTTTCGTCGGATTCCTCGGTTTGTTTGAGAATCGATTCCACTGTTGCCACGAGGTTGACCGGATCGGCGTCTGTGGTATTGAAGCAGGCCTCGTGACTCAGCACTTTTAGTTGTTCAGGAGTCAGCTCTTTGGAGGATAGATTGTGGACTAGGACGTCGTTATTTTCGACGGTATTTAAAAAAATTTGGAGGCGGATATGTAAGCTGTGAATTAATGACACTTGGAGAATAAGTACCAGTTAATTTAGAGTTATTGACATACGGGGATTCAGCAAGAGAAAGCTAAGTATGAAACCTAAAGGACGTGGGGATAAAGTTTTCAAACATTGGAATGGTAGGGGAGTTAGAACATGGATAGACTTGTTGGTAGTTAAATAGTGGAGGACGGGGAGGAGGAGGAAGGCCAGAAGGAAATTAGGGGCTAGTGGGTGAGGGTAGGCCGCTATAAGAATGAAACGGTGGGAAACCAACAGGCTCCGAGTTCTCCATTTAAGTCACCTCTGGCATGACGTCAGGACGGTAACATCCGAAAGCGGAATCCGATTCTGACCCAAAAGAAAGGCAGCACAACTCCGTTCAGTGGTGCACAGCCTCATTTTAAATTTACTAAGCCTTTACAGCATACCGTTTCTATAAACCCATTAGCTCCAATAATACCTCCAAATAATTCTGTGTCCAATATACTGTCTGTGGAATTCTTTGCTGGCAAAGTGACGCGTATAAGCCAAAAAAGCTTTCGGTGTTTATACGGTACTATTGATAGAATAAAGTAATAATGAAAAAACGTACAAACCTCAACAATGGATACCCTGGACAAAGAATTCCTTTGTTAATGTTCGAGCAGATCAAATTCCCAGCTCAAGGTCAGAATACAAAATTAGTTAATTAAAAGAACGCCGATCGCGCTCAAAAAAGGTTACAAAAGGGGAAGGGGAATGTCAACAGGGGCCAAATATGGAAGCACTTGAGAGGAGGGCGTGGACAATTCCAAGCGTTGACCGGCTGGAAACAACACCGCCCGCCAATTCTCCACGTCCGGCTCTTGTAAATGTTCTACGTGTTTGGAGGTATACGGCTGCTCTGACCCTCAAGTAGACAAATCTTTCTAACGTCCCTTTTTAAGAGACCGCCCGCCGTTCTAATATATACCGTCCTAACGAGGCCGTCGCGACTCCTTTCGCACCTATCTATTACTCTCAAAGGCCAATTCTCACGAGCTGTGCGCTACCCAGAAACTAAAACAACATCACCTGGTTTCAGTTCCGCGGCTTCTCTTGTCCATTTTGTTCTTTTCTGCAGACTTGGAAGATATTCTTTTACCCATCGTCTCCAGAACACGCCAGCGAGGTAGTGCACTTGTTTCCATCCAGCGTGGTACCGTGCCACCAATTCGTCACCGCTAGGCAGCACTGGACAGTTCCTCATCAACAATAAGCTATTCGGGGTAAGCGGTTCCAAGTCGTTGCTGTCTGATGTTAGCGAGACAAGCGGTCTATTATTCAATATACGTTCAGCCTGCACGAAGAGGGTGCTGAGCTGTTCGTCAGTTAGGGACTGCTCCTTACAGAGAGCAAGAAGAATCCGTCGTAGAGACCTGATCATTCGTTCCCAGATGCCTCCCCGATGGCTGGCAGTGGGTGGGTTAAAATGCCACTGTATCTCTAGAGTTAGCAGTTGGTCCGACACTCTCTTTTGGTCCCAATTGTGTAAGTCCTTTCGGAGTTCTGCTACCGCTCCAACAAAATTGGTTCCGTTGTCACTGTAGATGTCAGTGGGACGTCCGCGTCTACTCACGAATCTCATCAGACACTGAACAAAAGAATTCGTGGTCAGGCTGGTGGCCAACTCAAGATGAACGGCTCTCGTCTGTAAGCAGCTAAACACACAACCATAGCGTTTCTCCGAAGATCGTCCTCGTTTGACCATCAACGGACCAAAATAGTCCACCCCAACGCACTTTAATGTATACCAACCGGACTTCTGCTCTATTTAAGGGAAGCGGGGACATCATCTGCCCCTGAAGTTGTCGAAATTTACGTCTGTAAAGTAAACATCTACCGATGACACGTTTGACAGAAGCGGTTCCTTTTAGAATCCAGAACTTTTGACGGATTGCACCTAGAACTTGGGCTGTCCCACAATGGCCTTCCAATTCATGAAAGTAGTGTATGATTAATTCCGTCACGGGATGATTGTATGGAAGGATTGACGGGTGTTTTAACGATTCACAAAAATTTGAGTAGTTCAGGCGACCACCAACGCACATTACTCCTTCAATCAAAACCGGACATAACTTTCTCAGGCCAATATTTCTCACAGACTTTCTTTTCTGGCAATCTGCTGGTGTAGACTGCAGAATATCCAATTCTGCTGAAAAGTGTTTCCTTTGTATAAGCTTTATCAAGTTAATGCTAGCTTGGCGCATTTCCGATACTCGGATAGGACCCAACATCAGCGTCTCCTTAGGTGCCTTGCCAGTGGTGACTCTGACGTACTGCTTGAAACGCAGGAGCCAGACCACAGCCCTTTGTAGCCTTGTCCAACTTGAAAAACGCATAAGTAGTTCGTCTAAACCATCACATTGATTTAATACATAAACTTGGGCTGTTGTCCTCTTGAATTCCAAGTCTTCAGGTTGTCCTACGGGAGGCTGTACAAACCATTCTCCTTCAGGTTGAACTAAAAATTCCGGACCGTCCAACCATCTACGTACCAGCGCCAAGTTGCACGTACCTCGAGAAGCAATGTCTGCTGGATTGATGTCCGAACTCACGTATCTCCACTGAGAGGTCGCAGACAGATCATGCATAACCGTCAGTCGGTTGGCCACAAATGTGCAGAACCTGGTTGATTCATTGTGTATATAATAAAGGACAATCATAGAATCGGTCCAGAACGTTATTGTTTGGAAGTACCTATCGGTGCTTGAGCGGATGAGATCAGCCACGCGCACAGCCAGAGTAGCAGCTGCCAACTCTAAACGTGGTATAGAGACGGCTTTGAGGGGGGCAACACGGACTTTCGGATAAACGAGTGAACAATGTAAATTTCCTGTGTCGTTAATAAAGCGAGCATATGCTACTGCACTGTATGCTACTTCCGAGGCATCGCAAAACACGTGCAGTTCGGCTCGCATCGGATCGCTGATATCTTTGGGCTTTAGACATCGGCCCAGCTGAAAAGTCTTCAGGCTCCGTAAATAAGAGATCCAGTTTTCCCAACGAGAGCTCTCGATGCCGGATAGTCTTTCACCCCAATTCAGTCCGTTTTTGCATAAGGATTGCAGTAAAAACTTCCATGGTATCAGCCAAGGCGAAACGAAGCCCAGAGGGTCATAAAGTGAGGACAAACAGGACAAAATACCCCTATGAGTGGACGGTTTTGCGGGCATATTGAAACTTATCATCAGAATATCGGAATGCGTATCCCACTGCAACCCCAAAGTTCGTTCAGTAGGTAAGGGGTTGACGGCAATATCTCGAATACCAGAAGAGCGTTCAGTCGCACTAACGACCGAGAGTATACGCCGGTCATTAGAAGCCCAGTTTCGCATACGAAAGCCGCCTTGAGAGAGAAGTTTACAAATTTCGTCCACAAAACGTTTGGCTGAATCGACAACACATAACGAGACTAGACAATCATCAAAGTATATACTCTGGTGAATCGCTCTGCAAGTTGATGAAGAGTAAGATGAACCGAAATCTCCAACAGTTTTTTGCAACGCAAAGGTGGCACAAAAGGGCGAAGAAGTCAATCCGAATGGGTGAGATGTCCACTGAAACTCAACTGGCTCTCCTTCAAGGTCGTCATTTTCCCACCACAAAAATTTCAGAGCAGGTCGATCAATCGGGTCCACTTTCACTTGCAAGAACATTTCCTCTATATCCGCTGCCACTGCAATATGCTCAAGTCGGAAACCCAACAACACACTTACTAGCTTAGCGTTTAGGTCAGGTCCTTGGTATAGATTCTCATTCAGAGACACGCCCTGACACTTGGCAGCACAGTCAAATACAACACGAATTTTTTCTGGTTTTCGGGGGTTGACAACGGGGTGGTGTGGTAAGTACCAGTGTCTCGTAACTGGGAACGCTTTGTTGCCGTCAACTCGCTCGATGTATCCCTTCTCAATGTACGAACGGAATGGTTGCTCATATTTCCGAAGTAATTCGGGATCTCAACCCAACTTACTCTTGAGATGGATTAGTCGTTTACGCGCCAACTGAAAATTGTTCGGTAAATTCAGCGTACTGCTTCGCCAAGGGAGTGGCAGTTGGTAATGCCCTTTTATGATTGTAACGGAAGATTGCACAATAGCCAGTGCCCGTTTGTCCTCCAATGAGTAACTCGCAGTCGTTGTTGAAGTGTCCGTAAACTCCGAGTCGTATAGTTTCTTAATGCTGTGCGTTACGTCCTTTTCTTAATTTACAATGCAGTGACAGACAGCGTTTTGTTTTTGCCTGCCACGTGAAGACCCAAGCAGCAACCAGCCCAGTAGTGTTTTAACGGCGAACGGCTCCCTTTTGCCACCCAGACGTTGGTCGAGTACCCAATGAGCTTCGACGATATCATTCCCAATGAGTATGCCAACCTCGCAATCAGTGAGCTCGTCGAACATTATATCGCTCAGGTATGGCCACGAAGAGGCTATCCTTTTAATTGTCGATTCTGCACGAAATGGCAAGTCTTCGACTACCAAAGCCCTTTCAATCTCAACTGACTCAGTTCCATTCATGGGCAGCACCCTTAGACTTCTGACTTCCGAGTTGCATTTGATTGAACCGCTTAAGGTGTTTATTGTCAATGTTGTTGGCGTTGTTAGCACTCCATTTCCGACAAGAAGCTTTCGTTTAATCAGAGTGACATCCGAGCCACTGTCCAAAAATGCGTAAGTTTCGACGTTTCCTGTCGGAGTTGCCAACTTGACAGGAATAACCCCCAGTCGTGATGGTACATGCGTAGTTCCAGTCAGGGCACAAAGCCCTTCATCATGTAATGTTTGTTGATTATTTTCCGACGATATTACATGCAAAAGCGTATGATGTCGTTTTTTGCACCCGGAATGACGGCAAAGTTCTCTGGAGCTGCACACCTTGGCAAAATGCGTATTACCAAGACAAACAAAACACGCTTTGTGTTGCCGCAGACAATTCCATCGATCTGCGACACCCATTCCAATTAAACGTGGGCAATTTGCCACTTCATGTGCATTAGAACATATGTAACATGGCCTTTGATCTGGTTCGACACTCGAAATGGCAAAATTGTTAGGGTTTTCCCGTTTTTGATGTTGGGCTGTGGCAGTAAAGGGCTGTTGAGAGCGCTTGCCATCCCCATCTCGAGATATTTGTCCGAAACGACTTCTTGCTATCCTAGCTCGGGTATTTACGAATTCCGTGAGGTCTGCAAAATCCGGATCTCTACCATTCATAGATATTTTATCAGCAACTTCAGCCCATTGTATCTGCATAAAAAACGGCAAACAACGCACTATTCGCTCTAGGACATTCAGCGATTGCAGGTCGGAAACGTAGTTCATTTGCGTGAGCGCTATTTCGCAACTTCTCATTTTTATGCACAAATCTGAAAGGGCCTTCGCAGTCTGGTTAACTTGGCGTGCCTGTCTGAAAACACCGTCCAGAAGAGCATTAGCCACTACATGTGGCTGGCCAAATAAGCTGCTCAATATTTCCCGTGCTCTTGAATAAGCCGCAGGTGAGGGAAGCATGACGCATTCTTCTATGGCCGCTCTCGCATCACCTCTGCAATAGTGAATCAAGTACAGCAGCCTCTGTCCAGCATCTTCAACTTTGCTCTCTACGTACACTTCAAACTGCCGTATAAACTTCTAATAATGAACTGGGTTCCCGTCAAACCATGACAACTCAACCTTGGGCAGTTCTAAACTGGCAGCTGGCAGGCTCCTAGCGCTTGCTTTGGGCATATCAACATTCTCACGTTGGCAATGATTACTCTCTTCAGGAGAAATTTTACCCAATGTGCATTGTTTCAAATATCCCACGACATGCGCGACGGAATCCACGGGTTGACGGTCGTCATCGGACATCTCTTCATCGGTCTCTACCTCTATCCTTGCTAGCTCTGTCCTTTTTTCTGCGTCAAAAATAGCCCGTTGGAGTTCGACCTCACGTTTAACTCGCCTCTCTTCTATTTCGGCTATTTTTAAAGCTTTAACTGTTTTACTAGAGCTACGACTACTAATAGAAAAGTTCTTACAAGAGCCGGACTGGACGACTTTCTTCAGCTCTCCTTGTCCTTCGAAGGCACCTGGTTTGTCTAGTCCGAGAGACTGTTGCGTACCGTCCGATTCATTCTTCATGGAACGCGTCTGCATTTGATGAGATTAATTTCTTCCAATTTCTGGTAGGATGTTGAGTACTGTGGAATTCTTTGCTGGCAAAGTGACGCGTATAAGCCAAAACAGCTTTCGGTGTTTATACGGTACTATTGATAGAATAAAGTAATAATGAAAAAACGTACAAACCTCAACAATGGATACCCTGGACAAAGAATTCCTTTGTTAATGTTCGAGCAGATCGAATTCCCAGCTCAAGGTCAGAATACAAAATTAATTAATTAAAAGAACGCTGATCGCGCTCAAAAAAGGTTACAAAAGGGGAAGGGGAATGTCAACAGGGGCCAAATATGGAAGCACTTGAGAGGAGGGCGTGGAGAATTCCAAGCGTTGACCGGCTGGATACAACACTGTCCATTTACCAAAACCGTACTATCTATACTCTAAATAGTTCGTACATGAATTGTCTCAAGTCTATTCCCCAAATTTGTTTAGACTCCCCACCACCCAAGACCAACTTCTCTCGCGTAATTAAATGGAATTTTCATGCAACTATTCATACGGGCCCGATCCTTGGTTTCATTTCGGCGGGAATATGTTACAGAATTCTGCCTGTTGTTTTGCAGTAGAAACTCTGAGAGCTAATGAGAGTACTCAGTTTCTCTGCCCATCATTTTCTCCATCACTTCCTACTCCTCCTTATTCACGTCGGGGTCTTTCCATACCACAAAATGTTTTGCAGAACCAGACAGGTGTATCCGGACCGTAGCCCACCTCCATCAGAAACAAACGGTCCTTCCCCTTAAACTTTTTGTTCTAAATGCCAAATCCTTGCTAAATAAGATGCCTTTTCTTTAGACTCTTGTGTTTGTCCGTTGCCCAAGTATTATTTTAAGAACTGAGACATGGGCAACAGCTTCCGTAACTGACTCTTAATTTTCTCTTGTAAGCTACGCCTGCATTCGCAATGATCGGCGAGAGGGTCGGGGTGAGGACATTGCATTTACATTAAGCAAACACTTGCATTTTGCCGCTGGACATCCCGTAATTTTTCGGAGTAGAAGGCAGCCACCGTCGCGTCTGTTAGACTACTAGTGGAGGGCGCAGCTTTAGAGGCAATTGCAGGGGAGGGACATGGGTTGCTGACTTTGAGTAGCAGGGAGCACAAGACGAACTACGGCGACCACCGCGGAGACGAGGGTCAACAACTGTGAATGAAAGAGGCCCCGGCAGCTTCACTTGTTCGCCATCACACAGTCCCCACCCTGGGTCCGTGTCTAAGTGTCCTTCACCAAACTCAAACAACCTGTTCAACCCGTGGTGCTTTACAAGCCTCTTCCAATAACGTGACGCCAATCGATGTTTCTCTCTTTACTGATAAGCAATTTCCGGACGAAATTCATCTGGATGTCTTTTAGCTGAAACTTGCCAGATTAAAGCGGTGGTTGCTACTGCTTATGGGCTGCTTGTGTGCTACAACGCTTCCGTAAGCC